TCAAAACTCAGACCATTAGAATGAAAGCAGAGAAGAAAAAATCATCAAAAATATGAAGACCAAGATGGTGTGGCCTTTTGTGTGGCAGTACATCGAGAACCAGTCGTCCTCTTTTGGTAAGACCAACCTTCGAATCACTTCTTCATGCACTTTCATATGAAATTAAAATGTCTTCAACAAAACAGACTAGATTTAAAAAATCTAATAGTACAGAGATTCTGTAGTAAAGCGATTCTAGGGAAACAGAAATTGTAAATTCAAATTTATGATAAGAAATCCTTGGTGTACCGTCCTGCCAATCAGATAAATTCGTACTGAAATTTGGTTTCACAGATCATATTCCTCGTAGAAGCGTGGAAAATTTCCCTAGAAATGCTGTCGGTTGCAGTTTCATCTCATAATGCCATTGGTTATTTCATACGTTTCATACATGCTTGCAGAGAAATGAAATGGATACGAACTGTGCGTGAATTGGATGAAGTTGCTAGAGAACAGATGTTTCTCAATAAAATCACTTGCAATTTCGATCCTGCAATATTGGCGAGTGTTTGTTTGCACTCGACAGCTGTATGGAGTGCTCAACAGTCATATGTGTGGAAGCCATAATCTGATTCACGGCTACTACGAGGCTTTCTCTTGCTGGCCGTTCTTCATACCAAACTTATTCTTATTTCCTTCTTTTATCCAACTCAATTTTGTATACTAGTTCCTTCTATTCAGGAAATTAGCAGTTTTTTTATTCATATAGAATCCCCAATCTTCAACTTGTTTATTAAATTTCTATATTCTGAGAAACATTTTGATTTAGCCTAGCCCATCTGATTTCCTATGTTGGATGTGTTTACTTATTTCCAATTGATGGACTCACAAGAATATTTTGTATTCCGAAATCTGCTTGTGTATTTGATCGATTCCCAAGAGGAAAATTATCTTATCACTAAGTACCATGAAAGTCAAATTTCTAAGAACCCATTCGTGATTTGCCATTGTAATGTTCATACCAATCATCGATTGATGAATGAAGCTTTATTGAGCTAGGGACTTAGAGAGTGAATAACAATGAAGAAAAATCCAACTCAATCACATTCAAAAAGACAGATCATGTCAAGTAAATGTTGATAATATTCCAATATAAGTTCATAAAACATTTAACGGACCTAAGCTAAAAATAGAGACAAATATTTCAAAATCAATATGATTAAATACGATGAGTCCAAATCAAACATACGTTAAGCGAAATTGCCACGCCTTTAGGATGCAGCAGTTGTTGTGGCAGGCAACCTCCATCAGCAAGTGAGTCTAATAAGCGGGATGGTTTTATGCCCATATACGAGGGCCCATTCCTATCTTCTTCGGCATCTGCATTCTTTAAATGGGTAACACAGGCACCACCAATAGCCAATCTTGCCCGACTTGCTGGACTGTCTGTATCACTAACCCACCAAACAGTTTTTGCGAACGGGTAAGAAATAAACAGACCAGGTTTTGCATCAACACCTGTGCCGAGACTTGCCAAATATTGGCTGAGATAGTAAATAGCAAGACTAGAGGGAGATTCCAATTTGTGGTCTAGGCCAGAACCAGAAGCTGAGGCGGGGCTGGAAGATAATCTTGATGAAATATCAGGATTCACATTGCCTTCAGTTTGTAAAAAGCTCAGGTCCAGCATCGTATCTGCTCGCCAGTTAGGATGTACTGTAACAGTGAGGTATCTAAGCGAATAACGAATAATATAAGGAGTATAAGATAAGGAATAAAACCATTAAAATGCAGATAGGAATGTAAAATGTAATGATTAAAATAAATTGAAGAAGCTATGGTTTAGTATATGAGTTGGCCTCGAAAACCTACTCAATATGATTTAGTAACCATGGCAAGTAATGGGTATGGATAAGCTGATGGAGAGAGAAGAGTAAATACATACAAATAAGTGAGGAAACAAATATATGGAGAAATGTATCAACATTGATAGGTGAGATTTAGGTATGCAGGAAAGAAGATTTCTGATTTCACAGTGAATAAAAGATCATCGTGTATTGAAAAAAACGAAACAATGGATGATGATTATTAGGTTTGTAAATCTATATTATAATTCAATATAGGATGCAACTTCCGAGTTGATAGCAATACATTTTTCCTTTTTAGTACAGACTTTTAACTGAGGTATATCTGCTAAATAAAAGAAAGTGATTAAAATATCATAATGTCCATAAAGGACATGTCCAAGAAGAAAGTCATCAGTATGTGGAGGAATCATTAGGAAAATGCAT